CCGATATTTCATTGAACTGACCGATCCAATGAAAACGCTGCTCCTTCCACATTCGTTACGAAAAGAATGCCCTCCAGTGACAACAGAATGCTCCGTTTGATTCGCTAGTGAGCACTGAAGCCAGTCTGTTCGTAGTTTACTTACTGAACCAACTCGTCAGTTGAGGGTTTCACACTTTCACAATGCAACACACCATAGACTACCGGTCTCTTGTTGGTTCGAATAAATACACTGGTCGTGACTGGCTGACAGTTCTACATTCAACCTGTGTTGTTTGGATATGGTCTCTTGTTTTCTAGTAGGCTCTTTTTCGTGCATTTTCCCTATTTTTATGCCAATTCCTTGAGAATCCTCGGGAAATCTAATTCGGCTTGTTTCCTCACCAGTTTCCGTGTTTCTCTCTCAATTCGTGCTTACGAAAAATCCCAACTTGGTCAGTGTAACACACGGGACAAACTGCTCAAGAATCAAAAGAATTTCGAAGACCTTTAGAGCAGAATGACATAAATACTAAACACTGTATCTAGTCATTCACCTCCTGTCAGAATCAGCGATACAATGATACACGGAAATAATCTGAGTTATCTATCTAGTGACCGTCCATCCAGAGAGTCTGGGGACCTATCCTGGAAGTCAAAACCCCGGAATGGAAACTGTGTCAATTTCAACCCGCAATACACTGTACACTGTACTTTATCCCATCTTATTCAGATCGACGGTTACAAAACTTGTTATACCGATAGTGTCATTATTTTTACCTGCTGGAGCTGAGCTACCTACCTCAACCCCGTCACTTAAAGTTATGCTTCAGTAAGAGGTGTTTTACAAAATACGTGCTTTCATAAATCCACAAGACAGTTTCCGAGCCAACGAGAGTTGTTTGTTAAGAACAGTGCTAAGTGTATCGACAAATTGGCACACATAGAAAAACGTCTCATTTGGAAAAAGTGATCATGATTCCCACAAACAGGTTTGATAGTTGTTGGAAAGGGTCTGAAAATAATTCTGATTTTGACCACAATAATTTACTCTAGATCTTGTTCATTTTTTATCGTTATAAAAAACCGTTCATCACATCCTTTTGAACAATCCAATCATACTAAGTAAAGATTTGAGTAGTACCTCAAAACACTGTGAAACGGTTCAATACTTGATGATTTTAATTTGATTTCCATTTGCTCGTGGTTATGATATTGCTGTGTTGTGTACGCTGAAGCAGATGATTTATTTTTGAAAGTACGCATCCGTGCTCTTCGACTGGCCAAAGCCTGATCCACAAGGCAGCGAAAAAGTGTGCAAAAGCCGCAGTACATCGAAGACCGATGTCCAGTTCACCGGATCACACACCGTTTGGACGAGATCAAACGTACCAGATGTCCAGTGCACCTCGATACCCAATTCAACTGGTGACCACTATCACAATCAGAAAAATTGTGGCTGAGTGTGTGGCTCATACATCTAGTATTGGTCGATTCGGAACTAGGGGTTTAAGCCAACTATCTGCGGTGATCCGAGCCTACGAGATGACGCGTACCCTTGAGCGACACGTTATAGTTTTTGGACAATTGTGACCAGTCAGGCTTCACGGGTGACATCAACAACGCGCGTACGTATCACTGTTTCTGACCACATACCATAGATAGATCGCAC